ACTGGGCGCTACTGGGTGAACGAGGAACAAACAGCGATATGTGATGGGTTGGGTTGATTCTATTTCAAGTTGCGAGCCCCCTCTGAAGTTTTGACAGACTCAACTGGCTGTAAAAGCTGTTGCCCTACTAGAGCTGCTTTCGTCTTAAACAACACCATATCGGGTGGCCTGTAGACACAGCAAGCCGACTGACCGTGGAGCTACAGAGGATCTGTGAACCGCTCATTAGAGTTAACACAGTCTGAACCTAGAAAGAGAGGTCATTTAGTTGCGAAGAGTACGACGAGCACACGTCTCGCCCCAAGGCTATGATGGATGTTCACAAGACGGTTTACGCCGTGGTGGTTCTGGCGTGTCTGGAGAGTCAGACCGAACTGAGTTGCGGGCGCATCCATCTCTGCAGCTCCTCCTGCGTCATCGTCTGGGGGCTCGGTTCTCCTAAGGCGAAGTGACGTGTTTTCCCGGCCACGCGACCTCTTCACCCGCTAGTCCTACTCCCACCAACCTTGTCGCATGGTGCACTTGTCCCAGGGAAGCCAGGTGAGTTGAAGCCTGAAACACTCCGCTTGCGGGGCCTGGCATCTCATCGCATTTCTCCATCTTCAGGACGACTTCACCCTCTCATTTCGAGGTCAATTTCCGGACGATTGAACCACTGTCCCCCGATCATGTTGTTGCTATCTCTCGAGTGTTTACCCCCAGAAGTCCTCCTCCGCATCCTCTTCTTCCTGGAGATCCCCGACCTGCTCCAAGTGAGTCGCACGTGCCACACGCTGCGCGAGATTGCTTGCGACCCTCTGCTTCACCTCGAGCGACTGCATCACGTCTCCTATACTCTATCCACCCTGCTAGCCCGACGGCCGTCCAAGTCTGCCATTAGTCCTCCCAATTCTTGGATCTGGCTCAGCAGGACCAATGTTCTCTCGCGGCAAATCAGCAAGAGTTTGATCCGCATACGCCTGAGCCATAACCTCGAACACAGACCCAGTCCGTTTGACCTGGTACAGAGGGCGATCCTCCCGTCTACATGCACCAGTTATTCCTCACCGGTTTCGCCGGTCTTGATACAGTCACAGCAGGCGGTCCAAAGGAGCAAATTAAAAGATGGACTGTGTCGCAAACTAGAGCGCCGCCCGAGCATGAACAGTCTGGTGTCACTTAATATTATGCCTGAAGAGTGCGTCCGACACAGTGTCTCGCCTGCCATCGTGGCTACGAGGCGCAAAGTGATTAGAGAGGGCTTGAAGGATGGGCTTCGTGCGTGGGTTGAAGGGCGCGCCCTACAAGCACAAAAAAGGAAAGCAGACGAGATGGATGCAACGGAGAAGACTACAGTAAAGAGCCTGGTGAGGAGATTCGCCGCAAGAAAGGTTGCTGTGGACTTGGAATGCAGGCGGGTAAGTCGTCTTGATCCAGTGATCGCAGAGAAAAGGAGGGCACAAGCGAAATGGGGCAGGGAGGTAGAGCTTGCAAAGAAGGATGAAGAACGGCGAGCTGCTACCAACGGTGCCTGTGCGCAGCCGACGAGGGCGCATGTCCTGGGGCTCAAAAAGTTCTGGGAAGGAGTAATCAGGGCGGCTGCTGGATGAGTGATGCATTCTTTTTGCTGAGTTTGATGAGTGTCTTGAGCATTTGGTGGTGGTTCAACAGGTCTATACCCAGGGTGATGTTGGCGCTTGATTATTTTGTTACCTTTCAATAAAGCCGGCATTTTACACACATGAGATCCATGGTGCGCATATTTATCAGCCTCTCTTTATGATTAGAGGTCCATGCAACCTCGAGAATCTTGTCACGGTAGGGCAGATTCAGGCCCAGCTCAGCGCACACGGGACGAAACATCTCACTCGACCTGCGTCGCCGCTTGTTCAGCGGGAGACACAGTATACTTGTACACAGCACTTCCTCGTATGCCGCGGGTTGCGAGCCGACCCATCACCCCACATCTCGAGGACATTACCCTTCCCTCACGAATTGCGCGTAGCTGCGGCCGAGAGCGCGGACGGGCCAGCAGGGCTGAGCTGGTTGGTCCGTGTCACCAAATGACACCAAATGACGAGAGATATCCAAAAGGTGAGGGGAATTGAGTGGTTATGTTGTGGCCCGAGCGACACGACCGAGAGACCGAGACTGTACAATGGGTCAACTATCAAAGAGCTGGGCTCTGTTGACCTGCGCCTTGCTGTATTTAATTCCGTGGGCTGGATTGCGAATACTGACAGTGAGCCTGGGCCCTGAACGAACGGGGGGATGGGGGATGGATGGCCGTATTGGGAAACTGGAACATGTTCCTGTGATGCCCAAACGAGTTGGTGTGAGTCACTTGCGAGAGGGAGGTCTAGACTCTAGACCTGTAGCGGCGTGGGCGGTGAGTGGTGGTGTTACTCGCTTATGATCGGATTTGCTTGGCCTGCGTAGGTATGGGGCGAGGGGCTCTAGAGAGACACGAGAGATTGACGAGTTTTACGACTTGGATACTTCCTCACAGTCGAGCTCTGCGTGATATAAATACTGGGGAAATACGAGCAGATCACACAATGGACGCATTCATACTTGATTTGCAGACACCGTCAAGGGTTCTACATAGAACTCGCACCCATTCAAAAGGGTTCATTTACCTACAGTTCTCAAAACACACATTTAGTCCTCAGTACCTGAGTTACCCTCCTACCCACCCCCTCCACAAACCTTCTCGACCTTGATGCCGCTGGGCAGTGGCGCTAATACCACCACTACTACTATCACAACGACTATTATGAATGCTGAATCGAGTCAAAGCGACGTCCTCACTACTGTCACGCTTGGGGAACAGATTGCGAGTAATGACAACACCAGAAAAGACATCGTCGACTCATCCTCTGCGACCGACGACTACGACGAGTCTGATGGTGACTACGAATTCGATGAGGATGTCGACGATTTCAACGAGGCGCAGTGTTTATTCTGCAACCAGGAAAGCCCAGACCTCGACCAGAATTTGGCCCACATGTTAAAAGCACATGGCTTGTACATCGACCCGGCGCATCTGCTGGTAGATGTCGGGACCCTCCTCGCCTACTTCCATCTCATCATCTCCGGGCGGCACGAGTGTCTCTATTGTGGGACGCAACGGAACACTCTCGAGGCTGTGCAACAGCACATGATGGCCAAGGGGCATTGCAAATACGACATCGCGGATGAGGATGCCGAGCTCAGAGAGCTGTTTGACGACACATTGCCGCATGCAAAAGAGGACCTACTGCGACATCTCCACGCCATGCACGGCCCCGATGACACCCACCTTCCATCGCAAGCCAGATCGAGGAAACGACGGCCATCAAAACGGCCCGACAAACATGGCCTCGACATCGCAGCCTCTACGCCCGACCAAGTACCACCGACTTCGACCTCGACCTCGGCTTCGCAGTCAAACACTGATGCCGAGCCAGCCTCGAATGCTAACCGCACACCCTCTCCTTCCCAGGGCGCATTGAGCACGAGAGCACTGAAGCAAGAATGCACGCTCAACAACCAACTCGCCCAACTCCGTGCAGGTGACCGGAGAAGTCTGCTACACTTACCGCCTTCACAACAAAGGGCATTGCTGGCGACCCATCACAAACAGACAGAGAAGGCGAGGAGGACGGAGCAAATCAGCCAAAGCAACTTGGAGAGCGCAGGCAATAAAGTCAATTGCTTGGGCAAAATCAGGTTGGTACGGAAACCTCCTCACACTGGCAATATCTTCAGCCTGAATCGGTGAGTTTGAAGAGAGCTTTCGGCATGCCAGATGCGAAGGACATTTGGCATTTAGCATGTATCGACAGATATCACACATCACATAGAGATGGGAAAACCCCCGGATCATGGATCAAGGATGGTCTAGCTGGAGAGAAGCAACATTTGTTGATTCAGCAAACCATCATGAAAGAATCCTTAGCCAGGCAGCCACTGAGCGCGGTCTGATTCAGTTTGGCGAGCGACTTTGGCCTTTCCACGGCCTATTTTTCTTAGACCTGGTTTCCACGACCTGGAGACAGACGACAGGAGGAAGAGGTCGAGATCATTTTGCGGTTTCGCAGACCAAGAAATTGCGACAAAGGAGGTGACTTTGAAGGAGAGCCAACAACCAACGGGAGGAATACAAGCATCGAAGCATTGCCATTCCTTTATTTGAACAAGTTTTCGACATCAAACACGTATTCAGGTCAAACATGCGGCGGCAGTGGGCAATGGTATTCTGGGAGCATATGGTGAACGCGTCCATGAGCCACGTGTAATGCGATGTAAATGACTAGGACGTATGAGAGGAACAGATTAGGTCATGCGGAGCTCTCTTCGCATTCTGGTTATAACGCTCGAGAAACCAAAAATACCGGCTCCTACACTCCCTGTCTCCTCAAAATACACTCGTAAGATTACGGAGTATTTTGTAGCTGTGCCTTGGCTCGGAAAGTTACCCCAGAAACCAACCATCACAGCCTTGCATATGATGTCAACAGCGCGAACAACAAATTCCCACCTCTCAATCTTCATGGTAACCTGACTTTGCGACACACACGATAGATGCTATTGCGTACGCCGCCTCTAGAAACCACCAATGCCAACAAAGGGTTCACTCTTTCACGGATGACGAATGACTTTCAAGCAGCAAGCAAATAAAACCTGCGCGCCCCTCAGTATTAATAAAACACATCCAACCGACTTATCATCCTCAACGCCCCGCCGAACGCTGAATGACCCAGAACCTTTGGTTATCGCAAATCTCCGCCAGACGGGGCTGACATTTTGCATGTTCTAGACCCCGCTTAGTACCAATCACTCTGGTTGCCTGGACAACCTCTGCCTAACGCCTGCCTGCGGCCCTGCCAGCTCAAACCACGATCTCAAGACCTGCGTCACGACTATATATCCCAAAATCTGTAAGCGGAGGGACCCAGCCCTATGTTACACCTGCAGCTGTGACAAGACGGACGCCACAATTCTTCGATTTTACATTCCACTTGCCTAGCAGCGTCGAGATGGTGCGGGAACAGCAAGCCCCTCGCAACCCGCTCGCCCCAGCCATGGGTAACTCGCAGCCTGCCCCAGATCTCCAGAACAGAGAAAAGGTACCTGACAGCAATGCACCTCCGACTACGCAGCCTTTCTATCCAGATCTCAAGCATGCCCTGGCAGAACAACCTCAGTTTGGGAGGCCATCAATGCCTGGAGCATCGCCACAGCCATACGCAAGATCTCAACCGCTCATGCGACCGGGCGCGAGTGCCAATACATCAGCTCCACGCCAGGTGAGCGGGAATCAGCAACAAGACAAATATTCAAACCTTTTCGTGTCGGCGAAGAGACCTGTACAAAGACCAGAGCTACACAAACCTCATGTTGTCGCAAATCCTCTGCAAGCGCTCAACGGACGGGCCACCGGACAGCCGCCTAGACCCAGCTCTTCTCGACCGTCTGATGGGGACGATGATTTCTATGAGATCGCCAAACCTGCAAACTTCCCTGCCTGGAAGCCGCCCACGGTTGTCGCTCCCACCTTTTCGTCCCAACAGCCTCCAAATCCATACTTTCGCCCGACTGCGATAGACTTGACTCAGGATAGGCCCACGTTTAGACGTCCAGCGGCCCCCGCGAACAGCACTTTCTTTCGAGCCGACCATTATGAAATGGCCGACCCATCCACGTACATGAATTCCTCCCAGGCGAATGAAAGCATCAAAGCTCTACTTGAAGGTGCGTTTGAGGACGAAGAGGACAAACCAAGGACCAGGCGGAGAAAGAAGGAGCTGGACAAGAAGGTGGCCGATCTGGCAGATATGGTCAAAGACATGTCGGTCAAAAGTGCAGACAAGAGCGAACCATCACAAGAGGAGGCGGATGAAGGAGAGGAAGACGATGGTGTCGTTCCGGGGTTGAAAGTAAAGCTCTTACCACATCAAATTGACGGTGTCGACTGGATGGTCAGCAAAGAAACCGGCAAGAATAGGACTTACGGCGGTATTCTGGCGGATGATATGGGCCTGGGGAAGACGATACAGTCGATCGCTCTCATTCTTAGTAACCCGAAGCCCAGTGCCGAAGAATTGGAAAAGAGCAAGCGAAAGTTGCCGGAAAGCGTCGCCAAAGGCACGCTTGTCGTTGCTCCCCTCGCGCTGATCAGACAGTGGGAAGGAGAACTTAAGGATCGCGTCGACGAAGACCACGCCCTCAAAATCTGCGTGCATCATGGACCACAGAGAACAAAAAGCTACAAAGACTTGAAGAAGTACGATATTGTCATCACGACTTACCAAACGCTGTCATCGGAACATGCTGGATGCTCAGAATCGCTCAAAGTGGGATGCTTCGGGGTCCACTGGTATAGGATTATTCTGGATGAGGCCCATTCCATCAAGAACCGCAATGCGAAAGCTTCCAAGGCGGCTTGTGCTCTCGATGCTGCATACCGCTGGTGTCTGACTGGAACGCCGATGCAGAACGGTCTTGACGAGCTCCAAAGTCTCATCCATTTCCTCCGCATCAAGCCTTACTGTGACCTCAATGAGTGGCGCGAGAATATCACCAAACCCATGAATAATGGAAAGGGCGGTCTTGCGGTTAAGAGACTGAGACTCATCCTGAAAAGCTTCATGAAGCGGAGAACGAAGGATATTCTCAAACAGGAGCACTCAAACGAAGGCGGTAAAGGAGGTTTAGCCGAAGGAGGCAAAGATCCTGGGTTCAAGATTGTCGGACGAACTGTTCACAATGTTGAAGCAGACTTTTCAGACCAAGAGCGAGAGTTCTACAAACGTCTGGAGTCCAGGACAGATCGGAGTCTTGAGATGATGATGGCGGGGAACAAGATGAGTTATGCGTCGGCATTGGTCCTTCTTATGCGACTTCGACAAGCGTGCAATCATCCAAAGCTTACGGGAAGCGACTTGAGTACCGAGACTGATGCATCAAGTGGCATGCAGACACCAAGTCGCAGAAAGGCGAGTACGGAAGACGACATGGACAGCATTGCGAACATGCTCGGTGGCCTTAGTATGGAGACCAAGAGATGCGATATGTGTCAGATCGAGTTGACATCGAGAGAGACTGCTAAAGGCGCGATCCGATGTCCTGAGTGCCAAGAAGATCTCGACAAGCAGACGGATTATGTGAATGAGATGAAGAAGACGAAGAAGGAGAAACGACAGAAGCAAGAGCAGAAGACGGTCAGAAGTCAGCGAAAACAAGCGAGGCGCGTTGTGGAGGACAGCGATGATGAGGACGATGGAGACGAGAAGCACGAAGACGAAGAAGAGACCTCTTCTGTTGGCGAAGAAGATGAGAACGACGACGAATACTACTCATCCGATGACTCTAGCGATGCAGCACCCACGGTCCTCCAGTCCACCAAAATCCGACAGCTCCTCTCCATTCTCCGCGAGGACTCCCACACTCACAAATACATCGTCTTCTCCTTCTTCACGTCCATGCTCGATCTGATCGAACCATTTCTCCGTTCAAATCGTATCCACTATGTCCGATACGACGGAAAGATGCGTAACGACGCACGCGAGGCCTCTCTCAACGCTCTCCGCCAGGATCCTTCTACACGTGTCCTCCTCTGTTCTCTCCGTGCGGGAAGCTTGGGATTAAACTTGACCGCGGCGTCGAGGGTGGTGATACTGGAGCCGTTCTGGAACCCCTTTGTGGAAGAACAGGCGATAGATCGTGTCCATCGACTGAACCAGACTCAAGATGTCAAAGTGTACAAGATCACCATCAAGGGGACGGTAGAGGAACGAATCCTAGAGTTACAGGAGAAGAAGCGCGAACTAGCCAAGGCGACCATCGAGGGCCAGGGCAAGAAGGGCGCAATGAGACTGAACATGCAGGATATGTTGAGGCTGTTTGGGCGGGAGGCGGAGTCGGAACACCCCGTGGATGTGGAGGAAGTTGGGATGGGAAAAGGCCGGTCGAGGGGATTGCTAGATGCGAGCCGAGACACGTCTTCGCTATCCAATTCGTCGCAGGCTGCAAGCGAATATGGGTCATTGGGGGGGACGAGTGGTAGCGCAGGCGACCGACGCGACAAGACTCGTGTGAGCGATGGCAAGAAGAAAGCGTGGAAGGAGCATGAAGTCTATGGCAGGAGGTGGTAGAGCCTCACACGCCGTTAAAAAGCTTGACGCCAACATGGATTTCAGGTGGTGTTTGTTGGGCATTCATTGCATTGCATCGCACTTCATTTTGCAAAGAGTCAGTCAGGATATGAGTTGGTTCTAGATACGCCCAGGGGAGGATGACACGACCATGAGCGAGCCATGGATGGAGAACATGGAGACCATGGACAATCAACGGATGTATGTACCGAGTATGGATAGACCGAGAAATGGTACGGTCGGGAAGAGATGATTTTTGACTACTGCTACAAGTACAAGTACAAGTACACAAGCACGCAGGTACCTGAATCCCCGCTTGTGGTACCTACCCGGGAATACCCTCGTTGCTTTTTACTCGCTACTGTGCACAACGCCACGGGTTTGACGTGATATGGGACCATTGCATGCCTGCGAAGGACTTGGTACTTGGTACGAGTACTCGTAGTACCCAGTACCTACCTACCTAGCAAGCTAGCAAGCTAGGTACCTAGTAGTCTGACTTACGTACATACATACATAGGTACGTACGGAGGTCAAACATGTCCTCCTTACTATGCAAGCTGGGAATGTACCCCCAGTAGGACATAGGTACTGTACATACGAGGCACGAGTAGATGATTTCCTAGGTAATCTACTAGGTAGCTAACTAGGTACCTGGGTAGGCAGGGGACGGGTACCATCAGTTCGGTTCAGAAGGCAGGGAGACCTCTGGGTCTGGCTCTGGGTCTGGCTCTACAAGCTTCTCCTTTTGGCCCGTAGGATTTTGAATTGAACTGATCTGAATTCGATGCACTGGACTGGCCTTGACCAAATGCACTAGAGAAGTACTACAAGTGGCGGTGAACAAGGGAGACACTGATTGACTGACTGACTAAACGCAGAGGGAGGTGCGGGAGGTCTGTCTACCTAGCAGCCTAGGTACCTGTCACTGTACGTATGGTCTATGAGGTACGGTGATTTCGAACGCGACCACGCTCCCACACTATCTCTGAAGTCAGATTTGGATTCATGGCCTTCAACTTTCAAGCTGAGAAATTGCTGTAACAGACACTAGTGGCGCAATCTGTCTTGTGTCGTGAAAGCAAAAGAGAATAAACACTTGAGGCGATGTGTGTAAGTCTTGCGAGGCTGAGACTTCTTGGTGGGATGTTCCTTTTCCGGAGGGATGTTCCTTTTCTGGAGGGATGTTCCTTTTCTGGAGGGATGTTCC